GCCTCCTCTTGCTGTGGCCGCGTTCGGCGGGTTTTGCGTTTGTCGTTGCTCGTTTCAGGTACGCGAGGGGTCACCTCGCCCGTCCCCGCGCCTGGCAATGCTCGTTATTTATCCGTAGATGCGGTTGGCGAAGACATTTTCAAAAGCAAGAGTTTGTTTCCTCTGCCCTTGCCGCGCGCGCGCGTACACACACACACACACACAGGATGACACACCGGCTGCTAATGCTGCGTGCGTGTGCATGTGGGCACCTTGGGAGAGAGAAATCTATCACAAACTTAGTAGACGTTTAGAAGATCTAGTAGAAAAGCAAGACCTAAAAGGCAATCGTGGCTATCAATCTGGCAGGTCTCTGATAAGTAGAGACGTGCCAGGCTGATAGCCGTGACTGCCCTCAGGTCATGCTTTTCTACTTCAAAAACAGCTTATAAAGCAGTATTCAAGATATAAAGCATTCGAATGGGCATGAGTAAAGCCTCTACACAAAACAGAGCCCAAAGCAGGAGTCTGTTACGCGATGGGATTTATCTAACTCCACTCATGCATGAATTGCACTCCCTTCGTTGGCATCCCGACCTCTTTCTCTGCCCTTCTTGAACCAGCATTCATTTCGCTTTGTGAATCCCCCTCTGTTCCTCTCCATCTTGTCCCCTTTGCACGGTTGGGGCTCAGATTTCCAAATACTCTGGGACAAAGCGAGGGCAGCGGTTTCAGTAAGAGGAGGATGGTCCAGTGTGTCTGAAGGAGGCAGATCTAGTGGGAGTTATTTCAAGAACAGACTTGCGTTCCCCGGAATGTTGTTCATTCTCTTGAGGGTCTCTGGAGACTCCCCTGGCTGGATTCAGTTGCGCCATGTTCCGGAAGTAAAGGCTTTTAGCAATCTCTGGCTAATTACAACAGAGACGTCGGACTGGTTGGAAAGTGCCTGCTCTGTGCAAATTCTTCTCCTGCAGTGCCTGAGAAGAGGCATCTGGCTGTGCAGTGTCCTTGTCTTCCCCAAGGATGACTGGGTCACTGGGTCAGGCTCTGGCCAGCTCTTGACAGGAGAACAGTCACGAAGCCTCAGTAGATATAATTGCCTGAGTGATTACTTAACACCCATCGTAGGAAGCCTTAAATTGTTCCCTTCAAATTAACATTCTTTTTTCACAGACAACAGCTGGTTCACAGCTTGAACGCAACAGCTAAGATAAATTAAATAAAAGAGGTAATAAAATTCAAACCTAATTTAATTTGTGGTACATGCAGATGCTGGCAACACTTTTAAAATACAACAAAATATGTGAATGTCAGCAAACTCCAATAACTGCATGGTTCTCATTACTGCAGAGGTCACAAAAACAAAATAAAGCAAGATTAATGTGCCAAGGCCCAAGGAAGAGTGACTCTCCTTGGAGGACCAAGACTTTGGAATACTCATTTTGGGGCTAGAGTGCCATCTCTCCTTTGCTGACCCCATCTGTTGTTTGCTGCATTGCCTCTGGAGAGGGGGTAAAGGTGGTGGTGGTGGTGATGTTGATAATGAAATATTTTATTCATATCCTGCCTTTCTATTTATGAAGTTGTGGTTTAGGTTAAGCATCATTTCAGATAGAGAGACATTTGCCAGCCTGGGTGCTTGAGTCAGGATGAGCAGAGTTCCCAATATATAATCATAGCATGTGGTAATTTTATTGTCTTCGTTGGTTTTTAGCATTATATGCTGTTTCTTTTGTGTTTTTGTTCTATGATTTTTTGTATGCTGCACAGAGTCATGTTGTCTGAGTTGGATGGCCATAATGATTCTTCAAATAAACAAACAAACAAACAAACAAATAAACCTACACAGAAGAAAAATAAATAATTAAAATGTTCCTTGGAAAATAAGCTCAGAAAAATTGGAGAACCTATAATACAAGCGTTGGACTTTTCTGTAGTTGATCTGTGCTACTATTGTTACAGTTTGTGGCAACGGCTTCCTTGCTAATGAACTTTCTTCTTTTAATCAGCAACAGAAGACTTAGAATCATAGAATCTTAGGATTGGGAAAAGCCGTTTTGTTGAATCCTCTGCTTTATTCAGGGATCTAAATGAAAGCACCCTGGTTTCGCCCTAGACTGTCTTCTGCTCTGCAAGAGACACTGGGAATTTTCTTATGGAGCTGGCAAGAATTCAGAGGGGAAGATGGGAGGAGGGACCTTACACAGTATTAAGGAACTTTGTGGGCAGGGGTGACACCATCAGTAGGGCAATATGAGGTTTTGTAGCTTGTGGAGTCAGAAAGGTTGTGGGTTTGGAAGGCTGAATTTCCCATGGCTCAGAATAATAGGAGAGTCAATTTGGTGTAGTGGCTAAGTCATCAGCTAGAAACCGGGAGACCATGAATTCTAGTCCCGCACAAAGCCAGCTGGGTGACCTTGGGCCAGTCCTTTTCTCTCAGCCCTAGGAAGGAAGCAATGGCAAACTACTTCTGAAAAACCTTGCCAAGAAAACTGCAGGGACTAGTCCCTCAGAAGGGATACACACAGACACCCCGAATGATAGGCTTTCTCTGTCTAGATGGCCTATAAAAGTGTTCTTCTCTAGTTTATATGGCAAGGGAAAAAACCAAGAATAAAATATAAAGTTTTACAAGACGTTAAAGA